GAAGGACTGCCAAGGCTCTAATCTATCCTGCTATAGATGTTTACCTATGACAGTTTTTTTCCCATTTTGCCTATGACCCTTGGGCCACACTAAGCTATAGGCCTTTCTTTTTCAGAGCCACAGTTAGCATATCTCTGAGAATAGTGGCCAGCCTGGCAAGATGTCTTGAAGAGAAATAATGAGGAGAGAGGCAGTCCTCTGCATGCTGGGCTGTGCCTATTCTTTAATACCTGTTTTGTTTAACACTGTTATTAAACTCATAAAGTTCCCTGGGAATGTTTTGTTCTATCAGTGAACTTATCTGTGTTATAAAAAATCAGTCAGTCTTCCCTTTGCCATAAAAACCAATCAGCATCATTCTTGAGGGGAGAAGGAAGTAAGAGGAGTTAATCTCTAGTTCTGCCTAAGGGTTAAAAGGCAGATAAACATGGACTAAAATTTTTACATTTGTTTTCAGTAGTTTCAGGATTAAATCTAGACCAGTTTTTTAATATGAGCCAGAGATAAGTGAAGGTCAGTTTCACTCTGGAAATGTACCAAGGAGGGGAAACTCACCATTCTAGAAAGTTGGTGTTGAAATCCAGCAGCCACAGAGGAGAGAATCATCTTTGACCAGACACTGTTGAAAACTATGTATTTCTTGGGCAGGATAGTGGAGAAAGGACAGAACAGTGACTCTAAATATGGCACAAGAACTAAATCCTAACCATCTCAAGTGTGGAAAAATAATTTTGATTAAGCAAATAGTCACAATCCAGAATCTGTGAAACAAAAGCAAACTCTTACCTCCTACCAGTGATCTCGGTAGGAGACCTGGAAATGATATAAGGGAAACCTTCTATGGAAACTTCTGGAAACTCCCAACCTGCCAGATGTCTGACACATTGAGTTTGTGTTCTCTAAAATCAAAGAATGAATTCTAGGAACAACAGATGTTAAGTGTTGGAAGAATTTATTGAAAAATAGGTTCTGTCTAATAGAGACAGAAGGCGGGTGGCCTGGAAAGTGGGTTGCCTGCTGACCCTGCTTCTCCAGGGTGTTTTATTGAGCAAAGGCACAAGGTCAGGTGGGTTCAAGATGGGACAAAACTGTAGTCAACTAGTAAGATTACAACAAGTATGTTACATAATATTGATCCAATGGGAAATCACAAGGTGGATATGAGGTGGGACAAAACTGTGGTCAACCAGTAAGATTACAGCAAGTGTAGTAGCTTAGGTAATACTGATTAAATGTGGTGAGGGCCCAGCCCTGTCTAACTGCCTGTAGTATTTATAACTAACTTAGCTTTCTGCAATACTTTGGCATGTCTTTCATTTGTAGCAAATACTGCTTTTGAAGTAAAGTTCTTCCAAAATAAAATATGCCGTATTGGAGGAATACCCTTAACAGAGTATTACATAATGATTAATGGGACAGGTGGGGATTTCATATCATAAAAGAACAATTGGGACATGTTATTTTGAAAAGTCTCCTATTAAAATGGCACTTTATATACTCCTAGCCCAGATGCCTGATTGGATGCCTGCCTTATCCCACCTTGGTTTGCTGCCCCAACTTAATTTAGGCTTAAGTTTTAATGTATAGCGAGTACAGATGTAGAATACTGGATCTGATTTGCCATTGTTATACAGTTTATTTAGATATCTAGTGACTTCTCTTTGACAAATTTAAATAAATGAAATTGATGCTTTTGCAGGATTTGCTTTAGACTGTTGTACTTCACAGTGTGGTGGTGTTAAAATACAATGGTTTTAAAATTGAGTTGCTTGGTATGTGATCTGTACAATCTTTTGGATATCTTTTATAACTGCTGTGGTGGATGAGGAATCATTATTTGCTTTTGCAGGCAAGTTATTGGGTTAAAATGGCAGTGGAATCTGCCTTCTAGTTGGAGGTTTGAAAAATGCACTTAGCCACTTGCTGAGGGCATCTAAAATAAAAAATCAGGCAAAGTCATTTATAATCCAGTTGTCTTTGAGAATATTGAAAAGCAGGGGTTCATAATGGAAGTATGCTATCATAACATGACTGTGTTTGTGCCTATGTATGTATGTTATTTGTTTGGTTTTAGTTCAGTGTTCCTATTTATTCTGTGTTTGAAAAGATCATGGAGAAATTTTTTTTTTTTTTTTTTGGTACCAGGGATCGAACTTGGGAACTTGCGCTTGTGAGACAGGGGCCAGAACCACTGAGCTAAATCCCGGGCCTCTCAGGGAGAATTTTTAAATGACATAATTTTCTTATTTGCAGTTTTTCAGTTTCTTTAAATCTTTGAAGATAGTGGTTAGTATAATATCAGTAGTGTACAATTTAGAGTTCTATTAGTTCGATTAAGGAGGGAGGGAGGGCTAGAATCTGAAAATCTTAGGAGTCTGATTCTAGAAAAATGCACAAAACATTGGCTTTGTCTGTTTCCTAAGCTTTTAAATAAAATGCTAACCAAGTGGTATAAATATATTTATGTTGGTATTATTTCTTGTAGAGAATTTTTCTAAGTTTTACTTTGAAATTTTATTATGTTAGTATTAGAAAATCCCAAATGTTACCCTTTTCATGTCATTATCACTTAGATTTTCATTGTGAACATTAAGATTTATTGATTGTGGTTAGGGATGTAGCTAAGTACAAGAGTACTTGCTTAGCACTTGTGAGGCTCTGGGTTTGATTCTCAGCAATGAAAAAGAAGAAGTCTATTGATTTTTAATTTTTTAAAGAGTTGTATTTAAATAAATGTATTGTGAATACTTAGAGTATTCAAATATTGTTATTTAAATCATAATATATTTGTTAATGTGAACAAAATCTTTTAAAGCCTTACTTTATTTTGGGATTATCTTCAATAGCAAAAGAAAATTATAATTGAGTTACAGAAAAAAATTATTTAAAATGAGGTAATAGATTGTGATATGTTGTAGAATTCTAAGTTTTATACTAGCAACATATGATAAAATATATAAGAAAAATAAACCTGGCATAACTGAAATCTGAGGTTGCTCATATACTCTTATTTAGAAGTACCTTTCATAATGGAAGGAAACTTGAATTGCTCCACACTGGAAAATTTAATGTACCACTCAATTACTATTCTTTAGCCCAATTTAAAATAATAAATTGAGAGTAAGGTCTTAATGCAGTGTAACCTTTGGAACATTAGAAATAACCTCTTTCTTTCCAGAAATCAGTGTACAGTAGGGGCATTAGTTTTATCACACTGCATGAATAGATTTGTAATAGCACTTAGATCTTTTTTCACTATGTAAGTATACTGATTTCTTTTATCTTACTAAACTTATTCTAAGCATTAATTTAAAAATTATATTGTATAATATTATAAAAGATACTTATTTTAAAGTTTTTTGATGACTTTCAGATTTTGGTGAAAGATTAAACTTAGGGTTTTGTTAATATTTTATATTATTTTATGAAATTATTCCTTTGAAAGGATTTAAGATGGTAGATATTTTGATAAAATTTTAGTTATGAAAAAGTAATGTATTCTTTTGTAGTCATACTGTGAAAGGTGTGAAACTATATAGAGTATAATAAGTCTTTGAGAAACTAAAGGGACTTCATAAAAACAGCGTTGTCTTGTGATGCTGCCATTTAATGGTAGCCATCAGCTTTTGCTTTTATTATAAAAGCAGATTTTTCTATGCTAGGTGAAAATGTTCACAGAAACTAATTTACATACCCTCTCAAATTCCTTTTGGAATAGGGGAGGATACAAATAAGCAAATAGTAATAAAACTAATTTGCATACTCTAAAATGTTGGTCTTAATGGTATTGATGGAAGGTTTCCAATTTGTAGCAAAGTAGTGATTTTTAAGGAAACAAATTATATTGACATGTACTTTATTTAAAAAATATAATGCCAGAGTACTGTTTTAGGCAAATTTATCCCTATTTCTTTTGTTAACCAACTAATAAATAAGGATTCATGATTTTATAAGCAGACCTTGCTGATCTTTCAGTTTGATATATTTTCAGTGCTCTTAATGTAGATACTTAGAGGATAATAACAGTTTTGATCTAGACTCATAGTCTTTAATGGATCTATTCCTTTTTTCTATATTATCCATGGGTTTAAGTTTGTAACCACTTGTTTTAAGAATCATCTTAACACATATATTCCTGGGTCCCACCACAGAAACCTGCCTTTGTTTGTTTGTTTTTGTTTTATGAGACAAAGCCTTGCTATGTAGTCCAGGCTGGCCTTGAATTTGCAGTGATGCTCTTGCCTCAGCTTCCTGAGTGCTAGGATTACAGGTGTGTACCAGCACACCTGGCTAGAAACTTGCCATTTTATTAAGAACATCCGATTTTTTTATGGCTGGGTTTAAGAACTGTTTTGGGGGATTGGCAAACGGTTTCTATAAAGGTAATCATCTTTTTTGGATTTGAGGACCTTATGAGCTTCATTGCAATGACTCACTTCTGCCCACCTTGCACAAAAGCAGCAAGAGACCATGCAGAAGCAAGTGGCCATGGCCAGCCAGATTTGATCCCAAAATTTGCCAGCCTGTGGTAGAATCAGTGCTTTTTACTGTGTGCTCTTTTATAAAGCTTTTTCTTTGAAATTGGTTTTAATGAAATTAACTTTGTGCTTATTTTGTGATAACTGAAGGAAATCCATATATGTAAACACTTTCTGGATATACATTTAACCAAACTTAGTCCAATTATTTAAACACAGGATGACCAAAGATTGCATTTTTTTGCTAATTTTTATAAAATAATATAACAGGAAATATAAAAATGAAAATTTTATCAAATTTATTCAATACAAGAATGGACTGAAATGACACCTGTCCAAGCAATGCTCTGGATACTCATTACATAAATAGATGTGCTGCCCAAGTGACACTCGGGGTAAACTGTTAAGTGGTTAATAAATTATTACATGTAAAAAGTTTATAATATTTAAAACCTATTGTGTTAATATTAAAAAGAATGTGATTAACTTATTTCCAATGATGTAATCTTCTTTTAACATTAGGTTCCTGTGGCTAGAGCAAGTATTCTTTGGCTAATTGGAGAAAACTGTGAACGAGTTCCTAAAATTGCCCCTGATGTTTTGAGGAAGATGGCTAAAAGCTTCACTAGTGAAGATGATCTGGTAAAACTGCAGATATTAAATCTGGGAGCAAAACTGTATTTAACCAACTCCAAACAGGTAAGAGGCTATCAGATATATACATTCCTCTTTACTCTGATGAAGCTGCTAAAGTTTATTTATGAATGTTATGGTTTAGATCCAAAATTTCCCCAAAAGTCTCATGTGTTCAGAGGTGGGACTTTTATAAGATGATTGGACCATGGAGATGCTATGTTCTTCAGTGGATTAATTCATTGATGAGCTCCTAAGTGACTTGTTGGTGCCTGACCCAACAGGGTGTATTCTTATCCCTGGCTCCTTCCTCTTTGCTTTTTGGCTGCCATGGGTTTAGCAGCTTTTTCCCACCATGCCATTCAGCCATGCCATCTTTTTTTCATTGAGTTTATTGGTACATTTTAGGTATACAATACGATGACATTCATCATTTGGAATTTGTACCTTTACACGATATATACATTGGTTCTTATTTTTTCCTTATTCCCCTGCCCTCCCACCACCCCTCCCTATTCACAAAGACTTTGTTTCCATTTTTTCCTTTTCTCATAATTTTTCCTTTCCCTTCTTTCCTTTCCCCTACCTCACCCCATTCCCCTTCCCCTTTAGACCTTTTCTTTCTATTTTACATTGTCTATTATACATTTTGATCCTATTTACTTTCAGGTTCTCATACCAAAAAAACTATTCAGTTTTTCCACGTGTGTCCTATTTGTTTCACTTAAGACTATAGCCTCAATGTGCATCCATTTAGCTATAAATGTCTCTTCTTTCTTGTTCTTTATGGCTGAATAGTACTCCATTTTATTTTTAAACAACAACAACAACAACAAAAATCTTCTTTATCTAGTCTCCAGTTGATGGGCGACTCGGCTGTTTCCAAGTTGTAGTTATTACAAATTGTGCTGCTATGAACATGGGTGCACATATATTGCTGTGGTTTGATTCTTTTAATTCTTTTGGGAAGATACCCAGCAGGGGAATAGCTCGGTGAAATGGGACCTCTAATCCTAGTGTTTTGAGGTACCACCATATTGATTTCCACAGTGGTTCCACCAGTCTGCATTCCCACCAACAAGGGAGAAGGGTTCCTTCCTCCCCAGAACCCTGCCAGTGTTTGTTTTTGGTTGATTTCTTGATAGCAGCCATTCTTTGTGGAGTGAGGTGGAATCTCAGTGTTGTTTTCATCTGCATCTCTCGAATGACCAGTGAAGTTGAACATTTTTCATATGTTTGTTTTCTGCTTTTACTTTGTCTGAGAAATGTCTGTTCATTTGAGATGCCCATTTTTGTATTGGGTCTTTAAATTTTGGGGGTCTGATTTTCTTAAGTTCTTTATATATTCTAGATAGTAGTTCTTTGTCTGAGGAACAGCTGGTAAAGATTTTTTCCCACATTGTAGGTTGTCTGTTAGCTCTGTTGATGGTTTCTCTTGTAGTGCAGAAGCTTTTTAGTAAGATGAGATCCCAGTTGTTGATCCTTTTTGCTAGTTCCCATGCTACTGAGGTTTTGTTCATAAAGTCTTTTTCTATTCAAATATCTTCAGAAGTTCTACCTAACCTGTCTTCCAGTAAGTTTAGTGTTTCTGTTTTAATATTTAGATCTTTGATCCACTTTGATTTTAGTTCAGTGTGTGGTGAAAGATATAGGTCTAGTCTTAATCTTTGGCAGGTTGAAATCCAGTTTTTCCAGCAGCACTTATTAAAGAGGCTCCTTCCTCCAGTGAGGGTGGTTGGCTCCTTTGTCAAACATGAGGTGGCTGAGTATGGCTGGAGTTGTTTCTGCATCTTCTAATCTATTCCTCTGATTCTCTGGTCTGTTTTTTTGCCAGTACCATGCTGTTTTTATCACAGTGGCTTTGTAGTATAGTTTCATGTTGGGGATTGTGATACCGCCTGTCATGTCTTTGTTGCCTAGAGTTGCTTTTGCTATTCTAGGTCTTTACTTGTTCCAAATGAATTTTTGGATTGTTTTCTCTAGTTCTGTGAAGTATACTGTTGGGATTTCAGTTGGGATTGCATTAAATCTATATAGCAGTTTTCAAATTATGGCCATTTTCATTACATTGGTTCTTCCTACCCAGGAACAAGGAATCCCTTTCCATTTTCTTATATCCTCTTCAATCTCTTTTCAGAGTGCTGTAGTTTTCAGAGTAGAGGTCTTTTACTTCCTTCGTTAGATTGATTCCTAGATACTTCTTTTTTTTGGATGGTATTAGCCATGCCATTTTTGCCTTGGAGCCAAAACACTGAAACTTCTGAAGGACTGAAACTTCTTAAATCGTGAGCCAAATGAACCTCTTCTCCTTTACCTCATGAGTATCAGGTATTTTGTTCCTGTAACAGGAAAGCTGACTCATAGAATTCATTTAGCAATTACTGTTTCAAGTTCTGTGTTAGATGATAGTACTGTAAAGAAATGACAGTCTAGTCTAGCAGGGAGAAAAAGAGATGTAAAAATGAAATAGTATGTCTAGGTCCTATAATAGAAATATTGAGATACCTTGGAACACTAGGTTACTGAAGGTCTCAAGTAGGAGGAGGGAAGAGGGGTGAAAAAGTTTCATCAAGGATAAGACTCTTGAGTAAGAACTTACAAGGGTTGGTTTGCTATGTAGAACCAGGAGTGAGAGCAGATAGTCAGAGTCATTAAACAGCTTGAGGATTTTAGGAAGCTTTTAAAGATGACTCTAGAAAGGTAAGTACTGTGGTCTGAATGTTTGTGTTCTCCCCCAGATAATATATTGACTCTTAATCACTGATGCTAGAATGTAGGGCCTTTAACAGATGATTAGGTCATGAAAGTGGAGCCCTTATAAATGGATTTGATAGCTTTAAAAAGAGACTGGTGGAAGCTAGTTCGCCTTCTACCATTTATAAGCTAGAATGCATGTCCTCAGATACCCAGTCTGCAGGTACCTCCAGACCTGTGAGGAAGACATTTCTGTTGTATATATTGTCCCCACATCTAAATAGTATTTTGTTCTAGCAGTCTCAGTGGACTAAAACATTAGACAGCTGGAGGACATGGAGTGGCTTGTATGCTTTGCTAACTGGCAGGCACCTTGCTCTATAGGTGAAACCATTAAAAACTTTTCAGTAGTGGGATGATTTACCAGATGTGTGTGCAGTTTAGAATATTCATTGTAGCCCATTGAGCAGTGTTAATAAGAGGAGTCATATTTTCTGTTTACATATTTAACTGAAATATTTTCCTTATTTTTCTCGCACCTGAATTGCTATTCTTCATGGGTAGAGGATTTACCTATTTAGTAAGATTGGAAAAGAATTCTTGCTTATTTGCAGGTAGGCATCTCAGTAGGTCTTATATTCTATGTCTGGCCTCACATTTCCCCTTTCTCTCTGAGTCTTACTTTTGCCTTTGTGATTTTCTTTTTTCTCTCCTTCTCTCTTTCTTTTTATTTGTTCCCCCCTCCCTGAAACACTGTCTCCCTGAGTTTCTTTCTGACACTGTTCAGCCCTTTACCACTCAGCCCCTTTACTATAGCCTGATGTCTGTCATTCTTTCCTTTCTCTTCTCTCTTTTTGTATTTGCTATGTCTCTGTGTCCTCTTGTGGCTGCCCTCATTCTCTAGGAAGCTGCTTTTTGATTTTTTTAGAATCCTTGCATTCATTTCTGTATGTTTTTCCCTCATTGTGATATGAGTTGTATTATTATAGCTTCCTATGGTGCCGAACCTATGGCATGTGTGCTGCATCCAGCTGTTATCATTGAAAGCTCTAAAAGATTTGCCATTCCTGGATTAGACTGACCAGTACAACCAGATACTTGCAAATTTGAGACAATACTTCCATTATTTAGATTTTTGCCTTTTCATTTTGTTATATTTAAAAAGAAATAATTTTAAGTGTCTTATAGATTCTTCATGTAATGAGATATGCTGAGTTTAAGGAAGAGACTTATGTTTGTTATTGAGTTTCATTCTTATTGATAAAATGGGGAATTTTAGCCTGTTCATTAAATTCATGTGGTAAAAGTCAATATTAATACCTATAATATTGTGATTTTTTTCTGTATGAATTGGAAAACTGTTTTGGAGATAGCTATTGGTAATGTTTGCACAGTAGTGTAAAATATACTTACTGCCACTACACTGTGCACTTCAAATGGTTAAAATGTTAAGTTTTATGTTTATTTAACTCAATATAAAAGAAAATGACAACCAGGGAAAAATAAAGTCACTTTTAAAGGAAATACATCAGTAGAAATCAAAGCTTATTATGACCCAGATGTTGGAATTTGCAGATAGACATTTTGAAGCAACTGTTAAGTGTCAGTGATAAAAAGGAAAATGCACTCACAATGAACGAAAAGATAAGAAATCTCAGCAGAGACATAGAAACTGTAACGAATCAAGTGGACATTCAAGAAGTGAAAAATACAAATATGAAAAATTAACTTTATATTTTGAGTACTTTATCTTCTACTTAACATTTAAATATTTTCTCTTTAATTTTTAAAAAATTTCTTTCATGAGTACATGTTTGCAATACATTATGAATATATTCGTTGTGGGGAATATTTTCTCTTTTGATTATAAAGCTGTTTTAAAGCTGTTATAAAGCTGCTTTAGTTTTTAAGCTGTACCTTATACTTTATTTACAGTATGTAACAGCTTTGCTATCTTCTAACGTGTTTCTAAAAATCTTTGTGCTATTCCAAAATCACATTAAAAAATATAGGAATTATTGGAAAACTAACGGTAGAACTACAATGTGAAAAAACTTCATTGGTGACACTTTTTTTTAAAGGTACTTAATAAAAATAAGAGTGCACTTCTATACATATTAATGATGAAAAAACATGTAAAAACTATCATGAATCTTTATTGTGACGAAGACCTGAGGTTATGTATGGACGCAGGTGTTGGAAAGGTTGGACTTGTGAATTAAGAGATAAAAAGGAGACTCCGGTGCAATTAGATAGAAAGTTGTAGATCATAATGACCCATAACAGTGCAGATTTTAACATCTCTGTTAGTTGTGTGAGCGGTATTCCTAAGCAGCCTCCCTTAGCTGGGTGCATTTTTCTGTGGAAGAAAT